GGGATGGGTGGGTGGGGGGAGGTTGGGGAGGAATGATGGGGTGGGGGAAGGAGGGAAGCTGGGGAGGAATAGAGAGAGCAAGGAGAGAGGCTGGATCTGCAGGAACATCTTACAATAACATAACAAATACTTCCTTGCATTATTTCTGTATATCTACCAATTTCTTCATGTACTCATTAGCATAATATATAAAAACACGCATAATGAACCTAAAAAAATATCATGATCAACTATAATGAACCTAAAAAAATGAAATATTAAGATTTCGTAGAATGCCAAAGATTAGTGAAGTCTCTCCTTGCCAAATCTTCCCACACTTTTATTTTTATCATAAAGATTAAACTCATGATTATATTCAGGCAATTGTCGCCCTTCATACTCTCCCGCAAGAATTAACGAAATGAAAGGAGAGGAGAAGTGAACAGAGAATAGGAAGAAAGAGAAACCAATAAATTAAATAAGGAATGATAGTAGGAAAGGATATCAGAATGAGAGAGAGAGAGAGAGAGAGAGAGAGAGAGAGAGAGAGAGAGAGAGAGAGAGAGAGAGAGAGAGAGAGAGAGAGAGAGAGAGAGAGAGAGAGAGAGAGAGAGAGAGAGAGAGAGAGGAGAGAGGAGAGAGAGAAGGAAAGAGAGAGAGAGAGGAGAGAGAGAGAGAGAGAGAGAGAGAGAGAGAGAGAGAGAGAGAGAGAGAGAGAGAAGAGAGAGAGAGAGAGAGAGAGAGAGAGAGAGAGAGAGAGAGAAGAACCGGCATTACAAAATAAGACAAAACACTGAACAGAAATGGAAAATTACATTAAAGGATAAAAAAGGGAAAACAAGCAGACAGACAAACACAAAACATGCGCACCCTCAGCATGACCTTGCCCACAGTAAAGAGAATAATACATTGGAGTGTCCTGTCTGCAGTTATGTGGTTGGAGGGCGTGAAGGAAGAGGGGAGGGGTGGGGGTAGGCGTGGAGGAGGAGGGGGAGGGGGTGGGGCTATGCGTGGAGGAGGAGGGGAAGGGGTGGGGCTACGCGTGGAGGAGCGGGTGGGACTAGGCGTGGAGGAGGAGGGGGAGGGTGGGGCTAGACGTGGAGGAGGGATGGGGCTAGGCGTGGTGGAGGAGGGAAGGAGGTGGGGTAGGCGTGGAGGAGGAGAGGGGCTAGGCGTGGAAGAGGAGAGGGGAGAGGGTGGGACTAGCGTGGAGGAGGAGGTGAGAGGGGTGGGGCTAGGCGTGGAGGAGAAGGGGGGAGAGGGTGGGGCTATGCGTGGAGGACGGGGGAAGGGGGTGGGGCGTGGCGGAGGAGGGGGAAGGGGGTGGGGCTAGGCGTGGAGGAGGAGGGGAAGGGTGAGGTAGGGTAGAGGAAGGAGTAGGCGGGTTGTGGGTGGGCGTGAAGGGAGTAGTAGGAAGGATAGGACTGAAGATTTGAGGAGGCGTGTGTGCGTTAAGGAAGGAAAAAAGAAAGGAGGAAGGCTAGGTAGAGTGGGTTTGCGTGCATGGAGAAGGAAGAAAGGAGGAAGGGAAGAAGAAGGGAAGAGGCGGGTATGCATCAAGGAAGAAGGGAGGGGAAGAAAGGAGGAAGGGAAGAAGAAGGGAAGAGGCGGGTATGCATCAAGGAAGAAGGGAGGGGAAGAAAGTGAAAGGAGGGAGGCAGGTAAGTGTAAAGGTAGAAGGGAAGAAAAAAAGGGAGGGGACGTTTACGTGAATAAAGAAGGGGAAGGAGAGGAACGAAGGGAGAGGGGGATCATACGAAAAAGAAGGAGGTAGGGAAGAAAGAAACAAAGGGAGAGGGACGGCGTGAAGGAGGAGGGGAAGGGAGGGAGGGAGAGGACGGGGAGACTTAAGGAGGGGGGACGTGAAGTGAAAGGGGGATGGAGAGGGAGAAATGAACGAGGAATGAACGAATGGAAAAAAAGAAGAAAAGGAGACGTGAAGGAAGCGAGGAGAGGGGAGATGGAAGACTTAGAGAGCCTCGAAGGGGGGTTGGGATTTAAGCTGAAGATGGAGAGAGAGTAAGTGCGAAGGAAGAGGAGAGAAGAGAAGAGAAGAGGGAGAGGGAGAAAGGGGGGAGGGAAGGAAGAGAGAGGAGGGAAGAACAGACAATTAAGGGGGGGGTAACAAGAAGGAAGAGGAAGGAGGGGAAAGACAGAATTGCAGAGGAATGGAAAATAAACAAAAAGATAGTGAGAAAGGAAACTCGCGGTGGTGGTGATGTGGTGGTGGGGGGGGAGTGAAGGATGAAGGGAAGAAAAAAAAAGAAAGAATAAGAGAAAATGAAAAATCGCGAAGGAAAAGGAAGAAAGAAAGAAGGAACAAACACCGAAGGAGGAGAGAAGTAGGAAGAGGGAAGAAATACAGATTCTGAAATCTGAAAGAAAGGAAGAGGGAGGGAGAAGGAATGAAGGAAGAGGGAGAGGGAGGAAGGAAAGACTAGAGGGCGGGGAGGAGGAATTAGATAAGCTACGATAGGACGGAGGAGGAGGAAGAGGAAGGTTAAGGAGAAGGGCGAGATAT